GGGGGGGGGGGGGAACACACACTCACCTCACAGCTTGCGCCCCCCAAGCAGCAGCGACCGCCGCCACCGCCCCCGTCACGTGGCGCGCTCCGGGCCGTCGCCCGCCTATCTAGCGCGAGCTGGCTCCGCCTCCCGCTCTGCGCTTCCGATCCCCCATTGGCCGAGCCGGCCGCCGGCTTCCCGCCCCAGGGCTCTTCTCGGGGTGGTATTGGCTCGTGGCGCCGTCGCTCGTCGTTTCTCCCGCCTCCCCCGCCTCCCGCCCGGCAGTGCTCTTCGTGGAGCGCCTGGATTGGCGCTCCGCCGGGAGGAAGTGGGCCGCGATTGGCTCGGCGTCGGGCAGGGGGGTGGGGCCGGAGGGGAGGAGGAGAATGAAGTCCTGCTGCAGGGGCGTGGCGGGCTCTTAAAGGGGCAGCGCTTCGAAAAGGCGTCTCGCGAGCTTCCTCGTGGCGGCACGGCTGGCTCAGCGAGGGAGCCTGGAGAAAAAGCGCCAGTTTCCTCCACGTGCCCAGGCCTGCACCGCTGTGACTGCAGGGCCCTTGCAGCTCCATGACTCCATGCTTCCTGGGTGCTGTAGGGGCCACTGGCCTGCAACCAGGGCATGTCTGCACCCCGCCAGCTGAGCCCGGGCCTCCCAGGGCCCTTCACCACTGTGGACACATGGGGTTTAGGAGCTGGCATTTTTATCCTCCTTCGACTGCGTTTATCCCAGGGAGCGCTTTGGGAGGGCGGCTGATTTCACTCAGGGCGCTGCTGTACACATGCTGGCTGCTCACCATGCCGCCCCGAGTGTTTGCCAAGAGAGGGCTGCCTCCTGTCCGGAGAAAGCGGGTCCTAATGCCGCATAGAAAGTCTTGGGCATCCTCAGCAAGGCAGTTCAAATATCAAGTTGTCCACCCCACAAAAACCTCATGAGATTAAAAATCATAAATATGCAAGTAAGGATTGTTTGGGGATTCAAATGACAGGGAGATTGGGCTGGGCAAATTTTGAGCAGGGAGCAGGGGCCCTAGTAAGTAAAGTTAATTTTAGGGCAAGAATATATAAATACAGTATGGCAGGTATATGACGTAGACCAAACATAATCTAGGTATGCTTTATTTCTTACTAGGTAATTAAGTGATGAAGGTTAATATGTATAGATTATTCGTCTATCTAGCTATCAGTCTATCTACATGCACACAAATATGTGTGTGTGTATACATATCTGTATATATGCATATGTAATATTGCATGTATGTATGCATATTTGTGTGTATATGTCTATGTATACACACGTATGTGTACATAGCCATATATATACACATATATGTGTGTGTATACACACATACGTTCATACATGCATATATATATTTACCAGCCATTAATCCATCTTCAGATTGTTTGAACATTAATGTGTGTTACATTTACAGATATACACATTTTATTTATAATACAGATAAGGTATAAGAATTGTTTTATATTATTTATTTTGTAAATATATAATACCTCTAATCTTGTGCAATTCAAGTCTGTTACTCAGCTGTTGGAGTTTTGCCTCTATATTTGCCTGCATAAAAAAAAAGTTAAAAACAAATAATAAATATTATGCTCTGTTTATTTACCTTCTGATTTTTTAGCTTCTAGATCATGTTTAGGATGTTTCAAGCTTTTCTCTGCACTATATAGGCTAGATTTTTAAAGGAAAAATTAAATTCCAAACTAATCACCTGAGATTTTAGGACACCCACAAGTGTTAGCAATACTGGCCTGTGTAGGTTGCACTTGCTGCACACCATTTAGCCATTTAGGATTTCACTGCCCCGGCAGGGAGAGGGAATTCCCACCCTCTTGCCCTACAAACATAAATTCTGACGAAAATGTTTGTTAGCCGTCTGTGGGGTCTGACACGCATCTGAACAGTTCTGATTCTCTCCAGTAGAGGATAGTGATGAACATTCGCATCAGCGAAATAATTATGACAATCTCTGGTGTAAAGCAACCCCTTTTACTTATCGATTAGATCAGTTTTGTTATATACCCAGTAATATAAAAAGCTGTAAGCAACGTGTTGTTTTCTGTCATTCATAGCATTCTTTGATGCCTTGCAGATGTAAACTGCTTTATGTATGCCAGGTATATTGCAAACTTATTCTCATAACAGCCCTGTAAAGTAGGGAAGCAATGTCCCCATTGTACAGATTGGGAAACTGAGGCACAGAGAGAGTAAACATTTTGTAAAAGATGATACAAGTTATTAGTAGCATTTCTATAATGTAAAACAAGGACAGCATGAGCCAGAGATTAATAGGAATCTCAGATGGGAGAACCAAGCTCCTATCATTTATTCCTCTGAGCAGACACCACCTTTGACTACCTTTGGTCTGTGCTGCTATGACTATACTGCTGGCTAGCAGACCCAGCTCTAGATAAGTGACCATGGAGGTACCTGGTTCATTGGTCACCTCTCTTGGTTATGTTTGGTCTACGTCATATACCTGCTGTACTGTTTCGGTCCTTGCGTATTTATACATTCTTGCACTAAAATTAACTTTATTTACTAGGACCCCTGCTCCCTCCTCATCATTTACCCAGTCCAATCTCCCTGTCATTGAATCCCCAAACAATCCTTATTTGCATATTTATGATTTTTAATCTCATGAGGTTTTTGTGGGGTGGACATCTTGATATTTGAACTGCCTCGCGGAGGATGTCCAAGTATAGTAACGTAGTTAGTGGCTCATTCCAACAGACAGTGAGTGTCCTATCAACTGAATCTGACCTTGTAGCCTGTGGGGTAACAGGATTCTTTTTTAAATGTAAATCTGCTTTGAGTTAGCACTATGAGTCAGCAAAATACATCTCACCAGGGAGAAAATTCCACCACCCTAGGACAATGTGAGCCTGGGCCTGGTATTTAGAGTTAAGGCTCAGCATAAATGAGATCAGCAAATCTCCTATCAACTCTGAAGTCTGAATTCATGTTTTCCTTTTTTTTTTATTTCTAGAAAGGCACCAATCTGATTCAAGCCTCACTGGAGACAGGCCCCAAACAGAGGCTAAACACAAGTTGCAGACAAGTGAGCAGAGCAAGAGCAGCAAACCAGTCTCAGAAATACGATGCAGAGGGGCTTTTACCAAGGTTAAAAGCATACAGCTCAATACTTTAACATTCAATATGACAAGATGCAAACTGATGAAGTCCTTCTTCAGCCCAGGCAAAATCTGTTAGAACAGTGAGGCCATGGAATAGACTGTCTGGGGAAGCTGTGGAGCCTTCTTCATCGGAGGCTTTCAAGAAGAGATTGGATAAGCATTGGTCAGGGATGTTTGAGGGGTAGCAATGCCTGCAGCGTGCATTGAAGAACAACGGCGGGAAGCCCAGGAGAGCCACACATACGTCTCATTTGAGGATCATGTGAAGAGCTCTGGAATCCAGAGTGGAATGTGAAGAATGAAGCGGAGCTCCACAACCAGCTCATGTATAAATCAGGATGGAAAAGCTGGGACAAGTTTATAGAAGGGATAGGATGACAGGAAGAGGGGTTCTGGCTCTGTAGTTAGAGTGTGTGGTGGATGGGTGTAGTTGTGCTTGTGATTCAGTGGAGGGTGCTTGGTTTTCCCACACTTCTGAACTTTGCTAGTTGCCATATGGGGGATGGGAAGGAAGATTTTTCCCTCCAGCAGCTGCAAATGTCTGAGGTCCTGATGGGACTTAGACCCAGCTGTTCCTGACTAAAGGGTCTTGCTCCTCTGCTCAGAACCAGACCAATCACCGTATTTGGGATTAGGAAGGAATTTTGCCCCATGGTCTGATCAGCAAGGACTATGGGGGGAGGCGGGGTATAACCTTTCTCTGTAGCAGGGAGCATGTTTCTCTTCTGTGAATCTCTCAAGTATATTTAACAAAGGACTGCACAGTGCCCCCATCCCCCTGCTTTACCTGAGGCCAGCTAAAGTGTCCTTGATGTTTTTGGGCACTGTACCTGGTACCTGGGCAAGAGGGTTGTGCATACAATTTTGTTTGAACTAGTCTGGAAGGAAACTTGTTTGGGGTAGTTGGATAGGGATAATCCTGTCTTGAGCAGGGGGTTGGACTAGATAACCTCTGGAGGTCCCTTTAAACCCTATGTTTCTATAATTTTATGATTGTATTCAACCCATGAATTTCAGGCCTTTCCCTGAGTTTGTAACTCAGCCAAAAAAAAAACAACCTTGCTAAGTAACAAGACAGAAAACCAGTCCCCTGGGCAAAGCAAGCGACTGCCCCAACACACAGCTGCTTTCCCTCTGCCTCTCCCTACTCCTTCTTGCTTGCCCATGATGGACTGTTATTCTTCTTGTCCCCTACAGAATTATGTGGCACGAAAACAGCTCTTAGCCTTTCCTTGGCTGTTTCACCCTGTTGAAGGGGAGACGGAGCAGCCAGTGAAACCACAGGAGAAAAATTCCAATTTTTACGCAGCCAGCCAAGCCTTGATTTTGGGCAGGCTGGACCTTAGGTGAAATGGATTCACATAGGACGTGAGAAGCCTGTGGCAGAAAATTAAAGCCATAAACTAGAATTATAGCTGATTTCATAGCTAAGGAAGCACAGCTTTTGAATCAGCTTAAAGAATGCCAGAGTGAAGAGGGGTGAGAGAAAGCAGCTAATGTGGGAAAACAGGCTACGTCAGGAGGCTGCCTATATTCGCTGATAAAGGTCTGGGGAGAGGGCTGGCTGTACTGAGATGGAATAGGTCAGTGACTCTCAATCCAGGTGCCATTTTTCTCTGAGGTGCCTCCAGATCCTTTCAAGAGTGCTGTGGGATGCCTCACAATGTTACCACTCCTCGGTGTATAAACATCATTCACAAGATGAACCCAGAGATTCCAACTAGGAATTCATAGTGTTAAAAACAGTCTGCCCCGTTGTGGTCTTTCTGAATTATTTGCAACAGAAGAATCGCTCTATTATTCTTCCTGAGCCAAAAAGTGAGTGAAAACTAAGCGCTGACATTTTCCAAGGGGTGCCTCAAATTTCATGAGAGGTGCTTCAAGTCTAAAAAAGGTTGAGAACCACTGGAATAGGTCCCGGTGTTGGAGTAAGTTCTAACAGATGTACAGAGGGCTGCATGACAGATACAGTGAGGGGATCATGAA